CACTGACATTAGGTACAGTGGTCTGCTTGAACTCTTGCCCTACTGCCTACACTGAGCACAAATCAGAAGCCCCATTGCTTTCCCTGTCTACCAACATGAGCAAGGACATGCCTTGACTTGAATGGTTGCCACAGCCTTGGGTGCATGGACAGAGGGAATTTTCCAGCAGGGGCACTTCACAAATTGATAGGCCATAAATTTGGCTAGGAGGGGAAAACTGTGACTTGCTGGATTCCTCAACTGCAGACCCTGGAAAGAAATCACTCACTAAAAAATACAAGGAATTCTTTTTTGTTTGGTGGGGAGGGGTGATGTTTTTCTTTCCTTCTATCTTCTTCCTTGGTTTGGGGGGTACTTTGGTTTTTTCCTCTTTTTTATTTATTCTTTTAAAATTATTTTTGTTTGTTCTTTTCTATTACCTTTATCTAATTCTATTAATTTATAGAATCCTTTATCTCACTTTTTCTCCTTCTTTTCATCCTCCATTGCTTAATTTTTCAAATTTTTCTTCTTTTATTCTTCCATTCCCCAGCCTTTCTCTACCTTTACTAGTATAACTATTCTCCTTAGATACTTAACTCTATGCTATCACTATAAAATTGTTTTCTATAGTTAGTGGAGATATAGTTGTTGTGTATAGTAGATATTCAGTGTATTTCAATATTTAGTTTATCTTAGTGTTTATACTATAATTATAGAGCTCTTTTCTGTGGTTAAGGGTGGTACTATTATTGGTTCTTATAGTATGTCAGTATCTAGTTTGTCCTCAAAGCTATTATTGTTGCTAATTCAGTTGCTATGGCCAGAATAGCATAGTTATCGCTATTAATAGGTTTTTGTGTGTGCCAAAGTTCAGATAGTCCTTTTGTCATTAACAACACTGTTTTCCATTCCTAGGGAACTGGGTGCTGGGCCAGTTACACTGCATCCTCCTCTCTCAAATTAATGGAGGAGTTTGGACCTTGGGACAGAGGCATTGCCCTATATTTAGACTGTTTAGAGTGAATCACCAAAGAGCAGATACTCTTAAATAATTACTCTGTTAATAACCAATGGGTCGTAGAAAAAATTAGTTCCTAGAATCAAACAGTAATGCTAGTACAACATATCAGAATCTATGGGACACAATGCAAGCAGACATAAGAGGGAAGTTTATAGCTGTTAATGCCCACATGGGAAAGCATGAGCCTAAATAAATAACCTAATGATACATCTCAAAATCCTAGAAAAACAACAACAAAATAAATCCAAAGCTAGTATAAGGAAGGAAATAATAAAGATCAGAAGTAAAATTAATAAAATTGAGACAAAATACAAAGAATCAATGAAACAAAGAGCTGGTTCCTTGAAAGAATAAGTGGAATAGACAAATCCTTAGCCAATCTTACAAACAAAAGAAGAGACTTAAATCCATACAATTAGAGATGAAAAACGTGAACACAGTGGACACTACTGAAACCCAACAGATTATCATTATTACTTTGAGAATATGTATTCTAATAAATTGGAGAAGCCAGAAGAAATGGACAGATTCCTAAATACCTATGAATTATCAACTCTGAACGAAGAAGATATAAAAATCCCTGAATAACCCACTAGTAGAAAATGAAGTTGAAGCAGTAATAAAAAAAAAACTACCAACTAATGAAAGTTCAGGATCTGATAGATTCACCACTGACTTGTACAACTTCAGGGAAGACCTGATGCCAATACTCCTTAACTTCATTAACAAAATTAAAATGGAAGGAGGACTCCCAGATCTGAATGTTAAGTCATTCCTGGAAGCTAGCATTAACCTGATCCTAAAACCAGACCAGGACCCAAGCAAAAAAGAGAACCATGGACCAATCTCTTTAGTGAACATAGATGCAAAAATCTTCAACAATATGCAAGTAGTGTGGCCGAGCAGTCTAAAATCTTCAACAAGATACTGACATAGGACAACAAATCATGAGAAAGAATCTACATCATGTGCATTTTAAGTAGGCTTCACCCCAGGGATGCAAGGATGATTAAACATAAACAACTTAATAAATGTAATGCATCACATAAACAGAGGTATGAAAATCACATGATCATTTTCATAGACACAGAAAATTGGTTGACAAAATCCAACATCCATTCATGATTTTTTAAAATCCTGAAGAAAATAGGTATAGAAGGACTCTGATAAAAGCCATTTATGACAAACAAATGGCTGACATCACACTGAATGTGGAAAAGCTAAAAAAGCTTTCCCTCTAAAATCAGGAACAAGATAAGAATGTGCACTGTCACCACTCCTGCTCAGTGTAGTACTCAAAACATTAGTTAGAACATTACACAAGAGAAAAAAATAAAAGTAATATGCATACGGAGAAGTCAAATTATCATCATTTGCAGATGATATGATTCTCTGCATAGAAGACTCAAAAGCTTCCACTGTAAGTCTCCTAGTGTACCAGGATACTAAGTCAATACACAAAACTCATTAGCAAAGTATACCAAAAATGAACTCATAAAGAAAGAAATTAGAAGAATGATACCAATAAAAATAGCATCAAAAAAATTTAAATACTTAGGCATTAACCTAACCAAGGAAGTGAAAGACATCTACAACAAAAATTACAGTGCTCTGAAAAAGATCAAAGAATACATCACAAAATGGAATGATATCCTCTATTTCTGGATAGGCAGAACCAATATTTTCAAAATGATCATACTTCTAATACTGATACACAGATTTAAAGCAATCCCAATCAAAGTATCAATGGTGTTCTTCACAGAATGAGAAAAAACAGTCCTAAAATTCATATGGAATGAGAAGAGATCCAGAATAGCAAAAGAAATCCTGGGTAACAAAAGCAAAGCAGAGGCATCACAATCCTGGACTTCAAACTACATACTATGAAGCTACATTGATAAAAACAACATGGTATTGGCCCAAAACCAGACATGTAGGTCAATAAAAAAGAATAGAGGATGCAGAATCAACCCCAGGACCATTCAACTATCGGTTTTTGACAAAGGGATCATAAACATACACTGAGAGATACTGTGTTTAACATATGGTGCTGAAAAATTGTCCACCCATACGCAAGAGATTGACTCTAGACCCATATATGGATCAAAATGGATCAAAGATCTGAATGTTGAGACAGAAAGCTAACCTGCTGGAAGATAAAATAGGTAAAACTCTTCAAGACATAGGCATAGGCAAGGACTTTCTGAACAGAACCCCAGCAGCACAAGAAACAAAACCACAAGTCAACAAATGAGATCATATGGAATTAAAAATGTTCTGCACAGCAAAAGAAACAACCAACAAGAGCAAAGGGACATGAAAAAATGGTCAGCATCTCTGGACATTAGAGACATACAAATTAAAACAACACTTTGATTCTCTCTTATTCCCGAAAGAATGGCTATTATCAAGGAATCAACCACTAATGAATGCGGGAGATGCTGAATGGAAAAATAAATCCTTTTATATCATTGTTTGGAATATAAACTAGTACAGCCAAATGTGGAGATCATCTTTGGAATTTTATCCAAAAAGAAAAACCCTAAAATTAGAAATTCTATTTGACACAGCTATTCCCCTTCTAGGTATCTTACCAAAAAGGTTAAAGACATCATATTATTTGCAGCAGCACAAGTCATGATAGCTAAATCTTGGAAGTGGTTTACATTTCCATCAATGGATTAATGGATACAGAAAATATATTTACATACAATGGAGCACTATTCTGTCATAGAGAAAGATAAATTTGAGTCATTTATTGGAAAATAGATGCACCTTGAGGGCATAAGTTTAAGTGAAATAAATCAAACAAGCAAACTTAAATATTGCATAGTTTCTCTTATATGAGAAACCCAAAATATAAATATAGAGCAAAATAAAAGACAGATAATAGGAGGTAGGGAGTAGATCTTTTTTTTTAAAGCACCTGTTCTATCTCTGAGCTACATCCTCAGCTCCTATCTTCTGCCTCCTATGCTGCCTCTGTTGGTGCTGATATTCTCAAAGATCAGATTGAACAAAACTCAATGAATTACTGTCTTATCTCTGCATCCACAGGCCCCACACTTGTAGATTCAACTGACTGAAAACAGTTTTGAAAAACTGTGTTTGTGTTGAATTTGTGTACATTTCCTTGCCATTATTCCCTAATTGGTGTGATGTAACAAATATTTATGTAGTGTGTTATCTAGCTTTGTACTGCTGGGACAAAATGCTTGACATGCACAACTTAAAAGAGGAGAGGTTTATTTTGGCTCATAGTTTTAGTCCATGGTTGGCCAATTCCAGGCAGAAATGCCATGGCAGAGGAAAGCTCCTCACCTCAGGGGCAGCTAAGAAGCAGAGAACAGGGTAAAAGGCAGACAGTAAGGGTCAGAGAACTAGAAACTCTTTCCAAGAGATACCCACCTGGGGGTCAAGAGGTGTGGGAGAGACGTGGAGCAAGACTGAAGAGCTGCAGAAATGTCCTTAGATTTTTATTGCCTTTCCACTGTATTAAATCAAATGATAACACAAATGGAAAGTTCATAGCACCGTGCTTGATACTGTAATTACTGAATACACGGAGTTAGTACTAATGTGGAAATCACACGCAAACTACTTCCTGGTTAATCTGCTTAATATTAATATATACTTGCAACTTAGCTGGAGAATTAGTCTTTATCTTCTTCCTTTCTCTAGAATTCATCTTTTAATTCCTCTGGGACTCTTCCTCACTCTAAATTCATACACACACACACACACACACACACACACACACACACACACACACACACATGTCTTAGGAAACATCAGACAAAGTGACCAATCTATCTTTATGAAGGATAGGGACCATTGATGGAGACCACTATGAAGTGGCTCTGAGCGGGATTTAAAATTAACCAGCCGGCCTTCCATGTTTACTTGTGAGTCTGTCCAAGGCCTAGGCCCCTTGTCTGGAGATGGGCAATGGACTCATAGTAAGTGAAAGTTTGCGAGTCACTAATCCCAGCTGAGGCCTATAGTGGCCTGTGAAGCTGTGATGCCTCAAAGGAGAAGACAAGGCCACAACTAAGAACACCTGGCTCCAACATCATTTAAGTAGGTAAGGACTGTAGCCTCAGGTATCTAACTCCTGGATGGAGACCTTCCTGAAAATAACATAGTTCTCCTAAATTAACATAATGTCTTACTTGGAGAAGTCCTTGAGTGGTTCCCACCTTTCTTCAGCATTCCCCTCCTTTGTTTGATGACTAAATAAATACAGACCACCCAGAGATCTTTATCTTAGCCCCCAGAGAATCTCAAATTCTCTTGGAGGGTTTTGAGCCTCCTGGAGTGCTAAAGTCATACCACTTAATTCATTTATTTAAGCCTTAGCTATACACTCCTTTGGGAGACTGCGGACCTGATTAGTCCATAACAACTAAAAGATAATATTAACATGTTAGACCATTAAGTTTTTTGTTTATTAGCTTACAGAAATATTTACAGAAATATTAACCACATCCCTTTGGAATGAATTACCAGGTGATTATTCATTAGGGTGGGAAAAGGAAGAGGAAGGCAAACTCCACGAAAGGTGTGGCAGTTTACAATGTGACACCTGCATAACTCCAAGTTCATGTACAAGTCATTGGTTACCTAGAACAGTAATTGTTTTAAAATAGATTCTCTTCTTCTGCATATAGGAGAATGGACAGGTTATAACTTAAAAGTTACTGGACAATAGGATGAAATGATGGCTCCCCATCTCTTTCCATATAGATCAAATAATCATGTTCATGGTTTAGGGTGCAAAGTTGATGAAGTCCTTTCACATCAGTATGCTACTTGCTTTCATCAGATGCCAGTGAGGCAACTATGTCCCTTTTACAAATGGAGACACTGAGACTATGAGAGGGGAAGTGAGTTGCCCAATCCTGTAGAGCCAGTGCAGGAGTCAATTCTAGAGTCCTGCCCTCCAACCCTACTATAGTAGGGACACAACCCTCCACAGCAGGTCATAAGTAGAGTCACCAGATGATTTATCACCCAAACTAGGGCATTATGAATAATTATGCTGAGATGAGCCCTGTCTCATCAATACTCAGAGAATGGTTGCTTTAATCTTAGGGCAGAAGCAGAGGGGATAAACACTCTGCATATCTCCCTGCTTCTCTGCTCCAGGGGGAGCACTTACAGTGGCTTGAAGACAGAAAACTCTTTCCTTTGGCAGGAAACATTAATCGTCATCTCCTTTCAGTCCTGAGCAACACAGTTCAGTAGCCAGACTTGATTAGACGTGTTGTGGAGATGGGAAGTCAGTTCTCTCTTTGTTTTGTGCCATCATTTCCGACCAGTGTGGGCCCCAAAGCTTGGAAAATAGGGCTGTGGTTGGAAGATGCAATTCAGAACGAAGGAAAATGAGCTGACTTGGCTCTTGAAGGCAGATTTTAGCAGCTGGATAAAACCAGGAGCCTTCCTAGAGTGGGACCATAGACCACTTCCATCAACCTAGTTATATCATTTGTTTCATGGTTGCTGTTATTATCTCAGTGATCACAGTATCTATTGTGGCAAGGACTTACCTCTAGAAACAACTAGAATAACATGATTAGAATTATATTTACAAGACTCGCATATTTCCTTTATAGAATGCATTTTACTATTATATAAGTTGATACACATAAAATTCTTAAAAGAATCACCTGATAAGTATAATAAGTGCTATATAAGCATTATCTATTATTATTGTTATTTCATTTGATTCTCAAAAACACCTGACAAATGAGGTTGAATAGACAAAGAGGAAAAGTAGGCATGGATTGACCAAATTTATTTTCCATCATTACTCAGCCAGTCTCCAACAGCATGACCCTGGTCAGCACTGTCCAGTTCTGCTGAGGATAACACCTTTCAGCCTAAGACTTCAGAATTTCAGCATGTAAGTCCAGGCTCCCTCCTTGTCTATATCATGAGGCAACTGACACTTTGGGAGCTCAGGTTCTTGGAGTTCTAAAACAATTTTGTCTGCCCCCAAAAGCTTGTCTATGTCATAGAGCATATCTATGTCATTATATGATTGGGTAATTATTTGTGTCAGTGTGTGTCATGCCCTTTCTGACTTGTTATCCATACCAGTACAGTGAAGCAAAATCCCATGTAGGCACTAACTCACTCTATGTTTGCAAAGGTACCAAAGGATACAAAGGCATCTGCCAGAACATATTTTTGCTCATTTCCAAAAACTGCTCATCAATTAATGGGCCAGAAAGTAATTATCCTCTCTTACTCATGTAGGGCATTGACCATTAGCTTCTAGCACCAGACAGGAGAAGTGAAATTAGTACAAAAACAAGTTACAGTTGTTTCTGGAGTGTATGCAGACAGTTTTCTAAAATTACATCTTCAGATTAAAGGAAGAATGAAAGAGAAAGATCACTATGGATTCACTCTTGGAGGAAGGTGAGCCCTGGGCAAGGATAATCCAATATTGTGGGCCAGTCCATGGTCAAAGTCATTTGAGAATTGAATGTAGAGTTGAGAATAGTGGGTACTTGGTATTGATTCTGGTGGCATCAAAAGGCTAGTGACACTTGTGTACTTCTTTGGAAAAGCTCAGACCCTGGACCTGGAAGTTAACCTCTGCTTCTATTATAAGAGAATCAGAAATTACAAAGAGAGTCATCTGGGTGCTGCTGCAAGCAGAGTCAGTAATCTCACACACCCATGGAGGGACATATACAACAGACTAAGGTCTTTTTATGGAGTGCTAGAAATTAAGAGATGTAAGATGGGGAGTGCTAGAAACTAAGTCCATGTATCCGTCCATCAGTCCATTGACCCTGCCAGACACCATTCCTGAATTCCCTAGGCTGGGAGCTGTCCTACATCTAGTTAAAAGAAAACATTTTAAAATTGGGCTGTTATGACCATTAAATTAGGAAATCCAAGAAACAGTACACCCCAAGTTCCTGCATTTATCATAACAAGCAGTATTTCTTTTTCACTTCCTTCAATTTTTATTCATTGCTAGGGATCAAACCCAGGGCCTCATACCTGTTAGGCAAACACACCACTGTTGAGCTATACCCAGGTCACCCACAAGTTTTTAATAACTGTATTAAAAGCTATACATGGAATATTGTGTTATACCAGTGGTTGTTAACCAAAGGTGAATCTCCTCCCCACATACTTGGGACACTTGGCAATTTATAGAGACATTTCTGATCATCATAACTGCGGTAGATGGAGGAGGGAGATGGCATATGATATGGCATCTATTGGTGGAAACCAAGGATGCTAGTAACCAGACTGTGAAGCACAGGACAACCCCCTGCAATAAAGAATTAGCCAGTCCAAATGCCAGTAGTGCCAAAATTGAAAAACCTTATGTTATACTTTTTGCAACTTTTTAACTTCATAGATGGAGTTTATATTATTACATTGTCTTTGAACCAATTTAATCTACACATTCAATTGTTGTACATTATGAGTACTGAATAAAACCGGGTCCTGGGTTTTTTTCTGTTATACCAGAACACCTAAGATGGGAAATGTATGGAGAAGAGAGAGCTAGCAGTTCTGAGGGCAGGGAAGTTCAAAACGGAGTGATCTCCTCTAGCGAGCCATATACTATATTGTAACCTGGCAGATGGCATCTCATGGGGGTGATGGGTACACATGGAAGAGGAAACAGAAGACAAAGGGGAGCAGCCAGACCCACTCTCTTGAGAGTCAATCCAGTCTCATTAGTCATTTCCAGGAGGATCAATCCAGTGTCATTAATCCCTGGCAGAGGCCCCATCTCACAATACCACTACATTGGTGGCCAAATTCCAGCATGAATTTTGGTAGGGACAAACCACCTATGAACCATAGCAATGAGTGGATAATAAAAGCCCATTGAATTAATGTGAGATAATTTCCACAACATCCTTCTATTCCTAGACATTAAGGTTAAAATATTTTGCTATTGAAAACAGCACTATAATGAGCATTATACAGATTCCTTAATTTGACCCATTTCCTTTGAATTAATCCCAGTTGTAACATTAAGCATCCACTGCAGAAAAAGAGATTGTACTATTCAATGATTAACATCTTATATTTTTAGTTTCTTGAGAGTAGTGATGTAATATTTTAATCCCTAAAAGGTATCTTCACTGTGCTATGACACCATAAATGCTCACTGAACATAAAACTTTTTTCATCATATTAAGAAAACATTCATGAAGATCTTGTTTGCTAAGAATTTTATTTGAAATATTAGAATGGCCATGTATTTTCTCTTTTGATCTGTGAAAATAATTTATTGATATTAACTACTTTCATAATGTTATATTATCCTTACATTCTTGAAAGTAACTCTACTTAAACATGGATATTATTCTTTGTATATATTAATTTGAGCTCTTGGTATTTCATCAAGTCTTATTCACAAAGACCTGGGTTTATCATTTTACTTTTGTGTGTCACCTCTGCTTAGGTATGTACGAAAGGAGAAAATGGTAGCAGAATGTCCACACAGCCAGAGTAGGGGTTCATAGGGGGAAGGAAGGAGGGACCCCTATGCTGTTCTGATCCTGGGTAGGTTTTTCTAAGTTGCTTCTTTCCCTGGTTTCCTTTCTGGTCCATAGGTTAGTCTGTTCTCCCATGAAGTGTCTTAACTGCCTTCCTCCAAAACCTCCAGTGTTTTTGAGAGTGCTCTTGGGTTTGAGCCTCCCCCACACTTGCTTGCTGATACAGTTAGTTCTTTAAGGGAGAGCTTCAGGGCTCTCTGTTCGATGGTCTACCTTCCACGACGAGAAAATATCTGTTAATAATGACTCCAGAGCTGGCAGTGTGGGCAATGGTGCAATTGTCTTTGAGTGATACTCCTGCTTCAGGGGCAGGTGCGGGGTGGAGGTGCTGCTTCTGTTCTTACTGGCTTGCCTGTCCTGGTGGAGAACCTCTGCTCTATATACAAACTAGGGTGGGCAATGATGACCTTAGTATTCTCACCATGCTGCACCCAAAATAGAGCTTCTGTCTATAAGTAGCTGGGGGCTGGGAACTCCAGGCCTCTCAGTTGCACTCACTTGTGATTAAGCTTCCTCATCAGGTGGCTGGGAGGGATTTAAAGTGCTGGGGCTCAGCCTTGCAATGAAAATACCAAGGCTGAGAACCAAGAACATTTTCAAAATCCTAGTGACTCCTTGTTAGCATCCATCCTAGCCCTGATCCCACTTTACACAATTTGTGTCCCTAAAGAATTCAGCCAGGGTCCTCCAGAAAGTCTGCATGCTTTATCGCTGTAAGAATTGCTGTCTATGTTTATTTAACCTCTCTTGTGAGGCATTCCAATCCCTCTGTGTCTATCAGTATGGGTGATACAATTAGGACTGAGAATATTCTATGTATCAGATGTTAGGCAAAGTGCAGCCCATGCTATAGCTGATTTGCTCCTTACATCAACCCTATACATTAGACATTTTCCTCATTTTACAGATGATAAAATGGAAGCCAAGAAAATCAGAGCAGCCTTGTAGCTAGAAGGTGGAAGAAACTGTATTAGAAAAAAATAGACAAGGATCTCTGATCTTAAGTTCGACACCTAACTGGGATGAGAAGACTAACTTTTGCAAGATGATCAGCAAATAGTGTGAGCCACTGTGCTGAACTGCTTTGTTTTCTTAATTTTATTATGGTTTATTTCCTCCCTCCCCAAATTATAACTGCATCCAGAGCCAAGATCCCATTTTTCACTGACTGTATCTTTCAGAACACTTGGCACTCTGCTGGGCATAAAGTGGTTACCCAGTACATTTGTGCTAAGGGACAGTGAAAGGGAGGACTGAACACTATGTTAGTAAATAGAAAGTCTGGAAAGTTAAGGTAAATTTTGGGCTTCACTAAATGCTGGCCGGCGAGACAATGTTGCACGCAGAGTAGAGGTGATGTGCTAAAGGACACTCAGCTCATTAGAGGTGGACCCTGCTTAGGATAGCCAGTGGGCTTTCCTCGGAGTCACTGCCTGCAGAGGTCAGGACAGTACACATGGGGTTCATGCCACTTCTAACACATGGGACTAATTTCCCTCACCCCACAGCCCCCCAACATACACTGTGGGAGAAGGAGGCAGTCATGAGACAATCAAATAAGCAAGGCTAGTTTCGGGTAGTGGCTAAGTGCTCTGAAGAAAATAAAAGAGGGAAACAGGATAGCAAATGGCTAGGGTGAGGAGTTTCCTCTAGAAAGGTGATCAAGGAAGGTTTCTTGGCTGAGGCGACATTTCAGCTGAGCCTGGCAGAGGAGAAGTAGCCAGCCTTCCAGATGGGGGCACTCTAGGGAGAAGGACTGCCAAAGCCAAGCTCCAATGGGCAGACTTGGTGGGGCTCGAGGCACAGGCTGTCCAGATGGTGCTGGACGGTCGAGGTGAAGAGAAGAGGGAAGGAGATGAGGCTGGAGAAGAGCAGGGGCCAGGTCACAGAGCGCAGGGAGGCCAGGGAAGGACCTGGGCAACAGAGGGCAAGGGGCATTGTATACCGCATCCTGATTGGGATGTTGGAAAGATCAGCTGGGGCAGAGGCAGGCCAGGAGAGTACTTGGTGGGTGAGTGCCATCCTCAGAGCTGAGTCTCAGCATGCCGTGGGGCAGCCAGTCAACTTTGGGAGGGGACCAGGGAGCTAGAGACATGGGACTGCATCTGCCAGAAATGTGTAGGCTTGTGAACTCCTCTGTGTGCTGTTTTTGTACCCGTGTGTGCTACAGAATCCTTATGGTTCATGGATTTGGGAGCCAATGATAAGGAGCTAAGCAGGAACAAGGTCCCCAGACCTGCAGCAAACAAGGAGAAGGAAACATCAGAACCAGCAGGTTTGGACTTGAGAAGCAAAAAGGCCTATGAAGCAGAAAGAGAGAAAGACGTGGAATTTTGTGTCTGATTCCACCCAAGGAGCTGTTCTGGCAGCTGCTTTATCACACTGCACTTTGCAGCTCAGCTCTTTCAGCAATATCTAATCGCTACCTCTTCATCATTTACCAACATTAAATCACTCTTTCCTTGATTTTGCCAGCAGGACCCCCCCTCCATGGACAGTGGATTTTATGGGCAGTAGGGATCCAACTTGAAGTGTTTAAGAAGCCATGATGAAAAATAAGAGTTGAGAAAGATTCATCCTAGTAGATGGTGGGAATTTCTGGATCCAGAGGGACCAGCTGGAAAGCAATCAGTACAGCAGTCCGGGGTCCTCATACTCATGATTTAGGAAAGTTGTTGTAAAAAGAAAACCAATCTTCAGGGCAGGTCTGAGACTGGGCTTAAGTTTCCTGGATCACATTCAAATATTGTTCTGTAAATTTAAAGGGATTTTTTTTTTCATGTCAACTTCACGAATGCTGTGCTCAGGATGTGGTAGTTACTTGGTAAAGGCTATGAAATAATTCTTCCATAAAGAAATGGCCATACAGCTAACTGGGTGAGAAAAAGTAGGTCATGGCGTGAGGACAAGGCTGCAGGCCAGAGAGCTGTGAGGACACTGACAGCGCTGTCCCCACCACACAGGTTCATATCCTCCCTGTAACTTCGCAGGACAGTCAGTCATACTGAAGACACCCACTGCCTCTTACCTCTTTGGGGAAGCTACACCTTTCTTTGCTTTGCCACCTTACCTTAAAAGGCAGAATTCTATTCCCTGTTCTAATCCTGGCTCACTAACTCTGTGACATTTGGTAAACTGCTTCCTTTTTTAAAAAAAAATCCCAATCTTTTCATCAGTAAATAGGAGACAGTGCTACTTATCAGAGGTTTTTTAGTGTTCAGTTAGAGAACTGCACTCCTACACACTCGGTTCATATTACTTTCCTATAGCATTATGGTGATGTCATGTAATACCCACTTTTGCCACTTCACAACTTTCTATTGCCACTCAAACTATGTAACATCTTTCTACCTCAGTTTCCTCATCAGGAATGATCATAATAGAATCTCTCATGGGGTGGGTAGGAGTAGTGAGGCCAGCATGGTCCTGGTCCACAGTAAACTGGATGTTCTAGGTTTCCTCCTCTTCCTCTTCCTCCTTCTCCTTCCTGACCCTAGACTGCTGGGCACACTTAACATTCATATTGGGGCCTGCCCACGTTTCTAAGGACAAGGTCATTCGCCAACATTTGGGTGGAAACAAATCACAGTCACTTTTGTTACAGTTGCCCTTTGTGTTGGTCTTTCTGTTTCTCAGGAAAAAAAAAAAAAAAAAAAAAAACATGAATTAAAATTTCCGATGAAGTCACTGGAAATTTAAGATGAGAAAGCTTTATTAGAACAAACTTGTGGTGGGCACCTGCCTTGTGTTTTGTGATCTCTCAAGCTTTTTCCCTTGTGACTCCCCGATCTGTGCCTTGACTCCTGACAAAGTCAAAGGGGAGAGTAAGGCAGAGAACCCCTTCCCCAGCTGCTGGGCAGAGGAGAATGTCCACAGGGGAGAGGGCCTCAGGACAGAGCTGGCAAGACAGGATCAGTAGTGACAGCCAGTGAGGGGACTTCACAAGAAGGGTTTTCCCTGTGCACTGGCTGCTTGGCGAAATCTCCTCAAGCGAGAGGCAGAATCTAAGGATTATACTGCAGATATCACGCTATGCAGAGCACCTCAGCAATGCACTCTGGGCACATTGTCTTGTTTATCTATTCTGTCAACAGCATCCCTTAGAGGGGGGAAGTTCATTCACTTGTGGGAGCCCCCAAGTACCATACTGAATATTTGAAACAAATATTCAGAGAACAAAAAATGCTCGCAGTGGGTCATTTCATGCAGGAATGAAGAGTGTGGGATGCACGATTGCTTCTACTGATTGCATCTGGGAAGGACGCTTGGTGTGTGGTTTAGGAGGCACCTGCCAGGGATGACGGGTTCCCGGTAATTCCAAAGGACTTTCGTGGCATAGCAGACAGCTAACGTATCATGGGTACAGCAGGTCGAATTTCCCATGGCAGATTCTGAAGAGGTACACAAGTCCGCTATCAGAGCTGGAAGAGGAGTCATATACTAGTTGCTTCAAACCTGCATATTCCAGCCCCTGAGCTGTGACCCCACAAGCTTCCTGAACTCAGGGTCATGGTCAGCAAGTTGCTGTGTTGAAAGGTTGAAAGTATAAGCAGGGAGCTGAAGAGGGGGAGGGGAGCTTAAGAAATCAATCTCCCTGCACTGGCCGGCTGTGACCAATGGAATGCCGTGGGCACGTGAAAGCCTGCTCATCTCAGCTGAATTGGGGGCAATTCGGAGAGCCTTTTTAGCTCTGGAATTCTTCCTGGCCTCAAACCATGTCAGTATGTAGTGAAGATTTGGCCAAGGTCTTGATGAATTTAGATTCTGTCCTCTAAACTACCATGCTGCTTGGTTAGCAGGGAACCATGCAGAAAACAGAAGATTTGACAGAAAAAGAAATATCATGAGAGTTTTCTTGGTGATTGAAAACCACAGCAAATGCTTAATTTTTAAAAAACTACAGCAAAAGACGTACTGCCCTTAATCCCCTTCAAAATACTCCCCCTTGCTCTGAATGCATGTATCCCAATGTATTTTCCATTTTTTAAAAGCACTTCTAAAAATTCTTTTTCATGTCTTAGCTGTGCTGTCATAGAAAACTTGATGTCCTGAATGGATTCAAAACGTTTGCCTTTAATGTTCATTTGACTTTTGGGAAGAGCCAGAAGTTGTAGGGCATCAGATCCAGTGAGTGGGAAGATGAGGACCACTGTCAGGTTTCACATGCCTGTCTCTCTCTTGAATGGCACTCAACAGCAGTATTCACCATATTTTTTTTTATCATATCTCATAAAGACACGTAAGAGGACCTCTGGAGCTGCTTCAGAAAGTGGCAAGAATGAGGGAATAAGATTACTAAAAGTGAGGGGGATTAATGGTAGTACATCTTTTACTGTAACACATTTTTAAATATCAGCATCCCCTGTATCTTTTGATCACACTTCACACTTGAGTCAAGCCATTGCCCAAACCTACTTGTCTCCTTCTCCCAGGGGCATGGTAGATGGGAAGGTCTGTCAAATTTAAGGGATCCATGACAAGGCAGGGGTTATTTGTCCTACTTCCCATTGGGGTCTACTGATCAGTTGGCATAAATTGCTAACACACAGAGACACAGATGGTAAAGTCCAGGGAAGATGATTTAGGAGGTGCTGTTTGGGTGGTAAGAAATGGACTATTAAGAGGTAAAAAAAGCAGCCGTGTCCTACACGATCACTTGGCTAGCAGTGGAATTGATGAAATCAGAGCAGAAGCATCCATGTAAGCCTTACTAATGGTGTAGTCTCACCCTGAGAAACCCTTTCTGCATTCTAAACTCCTAATAAAACTCTAAGTCCTATGCTCATCCAGCCTTCCATCTGTCCAGTCACCAAAGATTCATTTGGTACCTACTATATCCCAGGCACTCTGTTAAGTTCTGGAATTGAAAGATAGCTCCAGCACCTGCTCCCTAGCATCTGTGGCATTAATAGATATTCCCAATGCAACAGCATTAGTGCAGAATTCTGTTGGCATAAGTTAAATTATGACACAATGACAAATAACCACCCACATGTCAGTGGCTCAAAACAGCGAACATTTACTTCTCCCACACATTGCTTCATCTTTAGAGGACAGCTGTGACTCTGCTCCACATCTTTTTCCTTACAGGAAAGCAAGCAGCTTTTATCTAGATCAGCAATGGTGAACATTTTAGAGTTCTCAGTGATAACATCCAGCTGTGACACACGTGCTAGAGGTTTGTCACCACTGATCTAAATAAGGGAAAAGAGGGGCTGGGGATTTAACTCAGCAGCAAAAGCGCCTGCCTGGCAAGCGCAAGGTCGTGAGTTCGGTTCCCGGTACCGGAGAAAAACCAAAAAAAAATAAATAAATAAATAAATAAATAAATAAATAAATAAATAAGGGAAAAGAGAGAGAGTGGAATTGGGCACTTGTAAAGTTTCTCCTGCTATAGGACCCATGTCACTTCTACTCACATTTCATTGGCCAAAGCAAGTCACATGGTCAGGCATGACATCAGCAAGGCAGCCATTGGCAGTTAACAGTTAACAGTTGGCAATTAACAGTTGGGAAGGAAAAATATACTATCACCAGGCCAGAAGAGAGTTAAGGGGTGGGCAGTAGGCACAGACAGCAGGCCTCAACATTTTGGCGTTCCTTTCATTTCACTTCATTGGTACATTTGAACTGAATCCACAAGGTTTTACATTTTATTTATTTACTTTTCCTGTCCAGACCTAGAGATAAGCTGTGTCTGAGCTAATATAGTGGAGAGAAAGTGTTAGGATTGGCTTTATAATTACATTTATAATTTTCTAATTCTGGAGACCTGCATAAAAATTCTGACCAACTGAGAACCAGCTTTTGTAACACCCATGTGGTACATGGATGTTGCTACTGAGTTGGGGGTGTTTTCATAGCACCACCACTGAAAATAGCCAGGCACACCTGGGCTTGAGTCCTTCCTGCCACTTACTAGCTGTGTGATTTTGAGAAGTCATTTGGCCTCTGAATTTTAGTTCCTTTACTTTAAAATGAGGGGTAGTTGTGAGAAAGGGAAATTGCTCTGTAAACATTCTTCAAATGTTGGGGCTTTATAAACATCAATGGAAAATGTCAAAGTGGACAGTTTGACTTTTCTTCCCCTAGTAAGGGAAGCTGAGGCACAAAATCAAAGTTTGTTAGCAGCTTAGATGTGCTGAAGCTGGTAATTATCCAGCAAGATGAGCTGGTTTTGAAAGTATGTAGGTGTGCCCGACAGACCCACCAATCAGACATGTTCCTCGATGTAATGCTGCTGACAGTCTATTTACTCTAAGGTAGTTGTAACACTACAAACAAAAGACATTCTTCATTGCCCAGCGGTCCTGGGCAAAACAGCCTTCATTTATCTGTAGGGCTGGTTTTACCAGGATGATAAAAATTAGATGCAAATCTGAGCAAAAGATTTTCTGAATTTTCATCATAATCCAATATCTTAGAGATGGATGAAACATTTATAGTAAATGTGTCCAACCCCTTTCATTTATGGATAAGCACACTGAGACCCATAAAAGTTAAGAAACTGGCTTTAAAGCCTCTGACTCTTTGCTATGCATGGCATTGATGTCTGAGTGGATAATCATACAGAAATGAAAACAATTACCTATATTTTATTCAGTGAGACTACAGTTTCATTAGTCTATTAAAATTATGATTTTTTAATACTTAGCATTGAACTGAATATTTATTCACTATTTACATATAGTCAACCAAAACATAAAAACTTCCCAGACATTTAAACATTCATTACAAATTTGTAATCAAGCTCTTAGATAAACAAATAATTAAAACTGCACAGCTAATAAGTCAGCCTTTTGCATACCCTAAAAATCTTAGGAAGCAGAAAACATATACATAGACTGTCACTTTGACTACAGAAATTATTACACTGTGGGGAAAATGCTTCCCGAGACACCGGAAGCCAGAGGGAAGATACTGTCCACGATGTGCGGTACCTACTCTGGCTTATCTTCCTTCCACCTGAGGCGGGCACTTGCTGATGCTCTGAAGCCTAAAAACTAGGAGGTGGTCCAAGAACATGTTTTCAGTTAAGTGCATGGATCATTTCATAAGTGTGAATTGCTCCTGAAATGATGATGCAATCCCACAACAAAACCAAGTTGTGGCACAGCAATAAAGAGCTCTCCAATCTGTCTGTGTCTTACCCTGGCAGGAGTTTTTCTAGAGGGGTACACTTCTTTTGGGAATTCTGGAGCCAAAGATTACATTGTGAGTGTATTATATTACACTATTGCAGCTCTTTGTGGTTCCAGACTTTGGATGACATTCTGTATTATGGACAAAAGTTTACAGAGAGGAAGAGAAAAAACAATCAGAAGAAAAGCTCTCCTGAAAAGTTTCCTTGTCCATTTGAAGTAGTACATTTGCAGTAAGACTACTTCAGTATTAAAAGCACTAGTACTATAGATTTAAGTATCATTGTTTACTTCATTTTAATTTTTAGCCTTTCATTTCATAGTCTCCAAAGGTTGCTACTGTAAACTTTTCCGATATTATAAGAATTTTTATATGATATAATTTCTATAGCTTCCCAGACAGAGTTACTGAATTTACAAAATACTATGCTTAGCAAAGAGTCAGTGATATTAAAGCCAATTTACAAATGCTCCCGAAGGATACATATATATATGAAGAGAGAGAGAGTGAGTTCAGGGTAGTTTAGCTTATAGGCTCAGGAGTTTTGACACAGAACCGGTCATTCCTAGGATTCCCCTTGGCTGTGTGGTCTGAGATGGTGCACAAACATCTGAATTCCAGCAGCAGGGTGGGGAAAAAGGAAGTGGAAGGGAGGAGCTGGCCATTCCTTTCGTGAGAGTTGACCCTGAAGTTGCTTTGTGTTACTTCTGCTTGTTTTTATTTGGGAAATTGGCCACACCTAGCAGGGATGGAGACTGGAAATTTTTTTTTTTCTGTGCACAGAAAAAAAAAAAAAATCAGGTACCTTATTAATCTAAAAGAAGGGGAAAACTAACACTAATGGTCATTAATGATGTCTGCTACCGCCCATGCTTTGGGCCACCAAAAGTGTGTGGGCTCACCTCACACAGAGACACACCTACCTCCTCTCCAAGGGAGACAAGCTCCAAAAGTCCTCATTCAGTGAAGTCCTCACCAGGAGGACCTGAGTGAGAAACAGTCAGGGCCAGGTGTAGCTCCTGGTGACACAAAAAAGCTAATGACCCCTCTCAGTATACAATGGATGTAAAGAACAGGAAAATGGCAGTAAAAATTCCCATTCAGAAAAGAGATGAAAAGAAAATATACATGTTACTAACCCATGGCAATGGTCAAGCCCCACTGGACAAGAACAAAAAGCACTTTTTCCCCTGTCGGCAGGACAGTCAGTTGGTCAATCCATTTTATGACCATGGCTCTGCTCCCCAGGGAATCTCTGGTGGCAGGTTCTGTGGCTTATGGCTTTCTCTCTGGAAGTATCTCCCTTGTCCATCCAAAGCAGGCACAGTGTGATATCCCTTGCAGGAGCTACAGCACCTTGACTGCTCGTCCTTGCTGGTGTAGGCTTAATCCCTGACTTCAGTACGTTGTCAGAATTGTCACATCCAGGCCTCTTCCCGTCAGCTAGGGTGCTGCTTCTCAGGCATCCATGCTGGTTTCCAGGTCTCCTGCTGGGGCCCCATTCCTGGGCACACAGCAGCAAATAAAGCATTGAAGCTGCACGTTACTTGCTCTTGCAGGTTCCTTGGCAGTTTCTGACCAAATGGTAAATGAGAAGAACAGCTCATTTTAAACTGGTTTTTCCTGGTTGTTATCTTTACAGTAGGCCAGGCCCATGGAGTATTTTCACTGTTGTCATTGAGAAGGTTTCTAAATGTTTTGACACGATCCCTGACTCCAGGTCATGTAGCTGAGAAAATACAGCAAGCAGGGTTGAGCACACAGCTGAGGTTACCCCACAAGAGTTCATTGTACGTTTCTACCTGACTTTTATCTCTTCTTCTAGCCTCTAGAAATATATTTTTAATCTCAAGGAAAATCCTTTTGCTCTCAAATACTTTTGACTTCCTTCGATTTTTGGAAGCAAGAGTTGAGTGGCAAAATTCCCCAGATGCAAACAAATGAAAAACCAGTGTAGACCTTGCTACACACCTGAGTGGGACCCAGAGGAAAGGAAGGCTGTTGATGAAACAGTCATATAGCACCACCTCACAAAGCTATCCCACCCTTACATTTGGAAATGCATGACTATCACACAGAAAGGAGTTCCTCTGCTTATCTGGGGACACCTGCGAAGTGCCAGGCCCTCTGTGAAGCATTAGGAAAGAAGAAAGAGCTAAACTAGATATGAACCTTGCCCTTGCCTTTCTTTTGAGCATGGATCCTCAACCAGGAGCAATTTTACTCCCCAGCGCACATCTGGCAATGTGTGGAGACAGTTTGGGTGGTCCCAGTTGGATGGGAAGTATAATTGGCATCTAGTGGGTTGAGGTCAGAGGGGCTTATAAACATTCTACAATACACAGGACAGACAACTGACCTTGCACAACCCAAATACCATAGGAGAGAGGAAGGCCCATTAAAACTGTCATCTAAGGAAGGCAGACTAAAGTGATGAGGAGATTGTACCAGAGACTCATCCAGTCAAGATTGCTGGAGGACATTTAACTTTGACCAAAGGGCCATTCCTGGGAGTTAGTCATAGAGAAGGGTAGGCTTGGGATACCAGGCCCAGGACCCAGCCCATGGTCTTCCTGAACAATGTCAGACACTGCTTGTCTGGAAAGACAGCATAACCATGAACACACTAGCCAGAACTTTCACACTGCCAGAGACTGGACTGCTCCAGGGGGCAGGACTGGGGTATGCAGCAGGGTATATGAATCCCCACTCAGGGCTCCAGTGCTGCCCCCACTCACCCCAGTGACCAGTGATCTGCTTACTCCGATAAGAGAAAACTGGTCCCATAATCAGCCTGATCTTTTGCTATCCTAGCCTCCCAGACAGTCTGCCCAGAAATTCTGATAGCGCTGGGGAGGGACCCAGGCAGGGCATTAAAAAGACAAAGCAAAATCCAATGGAATTCTAATGTGAAGGCAGAATTGAGAGATGTTCAACTAAGAATCGTGTTTCATTTCTCTTGTTCAGAACAAAATTCAGAACAGTCATGTCCCACAGCTGCCTTGGGCAGGTGAGAAAGTACACGATGGTATTTGTGTCAGATCTGGAAGACAGGTCCCATAGCCAAGTGGTGAGGCACTTTTTCTGAGGAACTTTTCCTGTGTGTACAGAACATAGAGTTAAAACCACTGGATGTGCAATGCCTTGCTTTCAAATTTCAAATATTAAAGAGGTACTGTTACCCAAGGTACCAAGATCTGGAGTCAGAGAACTGGCTACACTTGGGAGTTTATTATTCACTTTTATTTTCAACTGTTTCTTGGGTGTGGAGAATAAACTTTAAATTCACAGAAAAACTGGCATTCTTTTTGGAGGAGGTAATTATTTAATGACACAGGAAAATAACATGAGACAAGGATGACTTTGCTTTTGATTAAAAAATTTAAAAGTATACATATACATATAAACACCTGGAAGATCATATACCAAACTATCAATAGTATTACTTCTGTCCAATGATCATTCTTCCCTTTGCTTTTGTATATTTTTTTAAATGTAATTGTTTCTGAAACAAACAGTACTAAAGAAACCGGTATTTTATGCAGGAATCTAAGAAGCTAAGCCAGATATTGAGCAGTCAAAGTCTGAAACCCAAAAGAGGTCCAGCTAGGACAACAGTGCTCAAGCAGAGGTGAATATTGTTCTTTTCTTTTCCTACCATAATGCCATTTATCCAGCTCCTTTCTCTACAGTTGATGTCCTCTGCATAGTTACATTTAATGAGACTCTGAATATTAACTGTATAACAGCAGTTTGAATTGCTACTAAATTTAGCTGTTTTGTAGTTATATACAATGCAAAACGCCCTAGAAATCAAGTGTTCCTACAACAAAAACACAGGAGACTGTGGTGCTGCTTCTCCATTGGTTAAGACCATAAATTTCTGGAGGGACTTTTGAGCTTTTACATTCCCTCCCCCTCTTTCTTCAGGCTCATCTCCCTTTTGAGCTTCAGACAAGCCCACATTTGCAGAATGTTTTAAAGGGATTTTAAAAATTTTTCCAACTCTTGCTGTTTGGAAAGGAGCATTTTGAGTTTCTGAGAGGCTCACATTTGAGGCTCCCTGCAGCTTTAGGTTCTGCTGCCGAAGTCTGACACTCTGCTGCATTTCCTTGAGCAGGAGTTTCCCCCATGGGTGGGGGAGGACACACCTGTGGAGCAAGCTTTCACCTCACCCAGGTGAAGCAAGCCAGGCTCACCTCTCCCACTTGACGTGACAGGACACAGAAAAGCTGGCCTTCTGAATGGCTGAACAGCCAAGGGCTTCCAGGGTCTCTACTTGCTGTCCTGGTGTGGGTGAGGGAGGGCCTTGAGTATTTTGACAAAGTTCTGTCCTCTTAGGTGTTGCTCAGCCCCAACCATCCTGTTGTCTCCTCTGTCCTCAGCTCCTGTGGCCAGCTGGGCTGCTAACCTGGTTCAGTCCCAACAGCGTGTGGGCCCCTCGAGTCCACATTCTCAGCCTCATGACAGCATCTCCTCCTGGGCTCCTCGGGGAGTTTCCTACCCCAGTGACTGTCCAGCCACCCCACAGCCTCTCCTCACTCACCACTTGCTTCCCTTCTAAGGCCCCCTGTTCTCAGTATCTCCCTTTCAGTCCTTCCTCAAGGCTCCACGAGGCCACTGATCCCTGGGGTGTAGCGGTGGCCTCCTCTGCAGTGCCTCTGGTCTGCCCCTGTTCCCTCCTTATGTGTTCTTCACCTAAGGACTTGAATGATGCTTCTGAAACGTGCCAACAGTGATACCATCGTTTATTGTTGCCATTACAGCTATGACTTGTGAAGCATTTACCGTATAATAATTAATCCTGTCCAGGGCTCTTTAGAGGTAAAATACTTCCCAGAAGCTCTCCAAAAACCTAGGGAGAAGACATTCATTATCCTCACTACACAGATATGGAAACCCAGGCACAGAGAAGTGAAGTATCTTGTCTGGGGTCACCCAGCCACTGAAAAGAAATGCTTATTCAAATGTTATTCTCTAGTTTAGAACTCTTCAACGAGTCCCTAAATCTTGACTTTGGGACAAAATGCACACATTTAGTTTGGCCACTGGACTCTTTATGGCCCAGGCTGTGCCTCTCTTTGCAGATTCATTACCATGCTCTGCCTGCCCGCTTAGGCTTGAGGCCTACAGAGCAGCCAGCAGCTCCTCAAAATGCCCATGCTCCCCATGCCCTGTCTTGATTCAAGTGATTTCTCCCCGATCCAGGCTGCGTACCAGACACTTCACTGCTGCTTCACTGTATTAGGGTATGACTTGAGGAGCAGGGAGGCCCTCAGAGCCTGGGAGCAGCTCTCCTGGAACAACAGAGAGCACAGAGGCAGGAAGTGCCTGCTCACTGGCCCCTGGGTTCTGCGTCGTTGCACCAGGGTGGGCTGTGATGCAGTACAAAGTCCCAGGGGCCATCATCTTCTACACCCTCAGTCTTGGCTGGTCCCTCCTGTGGGGCAGGATTCCACCCCTCCAGCCCCTTCACAGGCCCCTCCTTTGGACTTCTGTCTCCCCCAGACCATTTCCCACCTTGCCTTTGGTGGCTAGAAGGCCTGCTTGGGTCTTAATTCAGCTCTACAACTGTCTCGGACTTCCCATTCCCTCTTTTAAAATGTGGAAGTTAGTGTTGCTCCCCTCAGCTCACTGGGCAAGGAGTACCAGGGGAGAAGACGTGGTACTGTGACCAGTAGGACTTGAAGCACTTTGCTTCCTGAGGAATAAGGGCAAGGGGGAAGCCCCTGCCAGACACCTGACATTCAGGAGCAATTCTGACCCTGACCAGCAGCTCTGTCCCCGCTCCCACAGCATGGTCCATGGGCTCATGGGAGGCCACATGCCTGGCACTGATGCTGGAGACCAGCAGCTTCAGAGACACCCAGGCCCACAATAGCACCCCTGCCGCACACACACCCTTCTTTGCCTGACCCTCTGCTGAGCAGGGCTAGACCCTCACACTGGGGCTCGCAAGGGAGGGCAGGAAAAGACTTTGAATTAGTTTATGCAAAGAGTGCTGATTTTGCATATGCCATTCCATCTTCCTTCCTGGCTGGTAAGACCAGCTCCTTCTTGGAGCTTTCTCTCTTTCGTTCCTCACCTGGCTCACTTTACTCACCCTTTAAAATGCAGCCTGCTTGTCCCCCACTTCACCAACTCTTCTCTGGTGTGAATTTTAAAACCAGTTCCTGCTATGAGACATAGAATTTTGAGTGCCTCTCTGTGTGCCTGCCTCTCTTGTTACAAGGCCAACTTCATGAAAGCAAGACCTGAGTCCCTTACTGCACATACCCCAGCACCATGCAGGTTCATTCGTGCATTTGACAAATACCTTTAGATTGCCAACCGTGTGTCAGGCATCAGTGTTACACTGGTAAAGAAACAGTGTTATTTTTGTTGTCTGAGGTGGCAAACCTTGAGGGCACCAATGATCTTTGCCTCCCGATGTTTGTATCTTTATGTGGCTTCCTTCCCTCTAAATTGGGATTGGTCTGTGTGACCAGTAGAATGTGGAGGGAGTTATAATACCCACTCGATTGTTGTACGGCAGAAGACCAAATTATAAAGGCACTGAGAGATTTTTTCATGGCCTCTTTGATTGCTGGCTGGCTCTAAGGGAAGACAGCTGCCACATCATACAGATAGCTGAGACAGCCTTGAGGAAGGTCCACACGGAAAGCACCCACCTTCGTGGCAGCTGCCAGGGGTGTTAGGGAGCCACCTTGAAAATGGATCCAGCAGGCTCTGCCAAGCCTTCTCCAACTGAAACCTGAGGTCCAGCCCCACAAGAAACCCTGAGCCAGAGCTGCCCAACTGACGCTCTGTTAAATTCTGGATCTAAAGATGCTTTGAGTGTTGCTGAAACAGTAAGTGTTGGGGTGGTTGGTTGTACAGCAAGAGATCATCTTATTGTGGTGGAGCTCACATGGTAGTGAAGAGACCAAAGAAATACAATTTGTCCACTTATTCCACACCACCAGGTGTTATCTAGGTACTGAGATGACACTGATGTTTTAGAGGATAAATAAACTCTGTGATATTAGGTCGGAAATGCTAAGAATAAAAGAAAACTGAGCAAGTTGGTTAAAAGGGAGAGAATTGCAATGTACGTTGCTTATTTTATGCTAAGCAGTTTCATATTTATCTCAATACTCTAAAATCTTTTGACATTGGTAGTTTATCTCTATTTTATAATATGGAAAAGCTAAAAGCCAGAAAAGTTAAAAAAAAAAAAAAAAAGCACCAAAGTGACACAGTTGGGATTTAGCACAGCCAGTTTCCCAGACCACCTGGGGAAAATGTGCTTTGTCATACAGCAGATTAACCACTGGGCTACAATGGCTGCCCTCACCCTGAGGCTCCTGTTCACCAGAGCCTGTACTTGGCACTGGCTACACGCCTGTAACACACTGGCAATGAAGGCATGGAAATGACCTTTGGGTGGGAAGGTTACAGAGTGGGCCAGGTCTCTAGTTTCTCTTAAATTTAGAAAATACCTGGTTTCGTGTGGACCCGCCTGTGGGCTGAAAATATCCATGGAGGCTCCCTAAGAACTGGCTTCTTTAGTTGTTTATTAACAGCAGTACCTCCTCCACCAGCCCCTGCTCCGGACTTTCCTCCCTGCCTCTCTGGTCCGCTCCATTTGTTCTACACGGAAGGAACTGTCGTTCAAGCCATGCTTACCTCACTGCTTCCCCCAGCCATCTGCACTGTCCTGGAGCTTCTTGTTTTGCCTAACTTCCTTGTGTGCAGACCACTAGATGGAGATATACAAATACTTTACCGGAGGCTTATGATGTGCCGGGCACCATTCTAAGTACTTGGCCTCATGATTTTTATTGAATCTTCACCACAGTCCTTTGTCGAGGTCCCATTATTTTCCTTGTTGAGGTTAAGCTTCAAGGTCATTCAGCCTCTGGCTGGCAGAGCCCAGACTCAAACCTAGATCTCTCAGAATTCAGTCTTGGTTTATTAGCCAAGGTCACAGAGTGGGGAGAACTTTGAAGATAAGTGATTTGCCAAGGTTATCTTTTCTATTCCTTTACCCTTGGACAGGGCTGAATCCAGATTATCTCCAGAAGGTTAGAACTGGACATCTTCAATTAGTGCTTGTGAAAAGAAGAGAACAACTCAACACCAGCCCTTAAACACATCACAACTAATACGCGGATTTTCGGGCCTAACATCCTTGTCAACATCTAATCCAGGTCATTCAGCGCCGACTCTGTGCTAGCCCTGTGCTGTGATAAATTTCACATACATGAGTGTGGAAGTACAGGGGGGCAGCAGACAGACTGGGAGTCCAGTGTCTACAAGGTGATGTTTGTCAGAACCCTGAAAGTCTCCGGGCAGCACAGAGGGGCTTCCAGACAGACTGGATGACACGTGTGAAGTCAAGGGTATGACTGAAAAACAGCTTGTCTCAGCATCTGGTGGAGCCTTGGAGAAGAGCTGGAGAAGGGTAAACAATGAGATTCAGAGGTGCGCAGGAGCTCCCTACCTGGAAAAAGTGTGGGATGACTGAAGGGTTTTATGAAACGTTCTGATACAATCAGATTTGCACAGTCAAAAGCTTATTCCACCAGCAGTACAGATGATACATGGGAAAGCCCAATTAGGGAGGATACTGAAATGGTTAGGCAAGAGACGATTACTAGGGAAGAAAAGAGAGGTGCCTAAGATATGTGGGAGAGATTTATGAGCAGACAAGTCCAAACTTGGCAACTGCTTGGGTGTGGAGAGAGCAAAGAAGAAGGCATGGGAGCTGATTCACCTAGTTCCTGGCTGGGGATGTGGCTGGATGGCGGCACTCTGTGACGAGCTGGGAAGCAGGTTGAGGAGAGAGACGCTGACATCTTCTGGCGCCAGGTTCCACAGGGTAACCTCTACCACAGACGAGTGAATGAAGACTTAAGATGGTGACACGACTTGCTCAAAGTCACACTGGCCACAGTTGCACAAGGAGGGAGACGCAAACCTACATCTTAGCAAGTTTTGTGTAGTATCCAGGAAGAGGTTCCACAATTATCTCAACAGGGTATTAATGTCTCTCCTTTTCACAACTACCTCACTGCATGAGCCTGCATGGTTCCAGCTAAAGAAACACTGGAATAGATGAAGTGCAAAAGCAGGCTGAAAACTCTGTCTTCAATTAAGCCAGGTGTTAAAGAAGCAAAGATATAAGAGTGAGGAGGGTTCATATATTAAATTTTTACTTTTAAATAAACAACTAAACATTTAACATTTTCTCTGTTTTCATCTCTACTACCATAAATATCAACAGGTACAACCCACGTAAACAAAAGCTCTTTTAGGTCGTCAATCATATAAGGAGAAAACAAGTTTGGAGAATCCTTTGCTTAAATGGTGAAGTCTCTTACTGGTCACTGTGACCTAGTGAGTGAGGCATTGTCCATCATTAGGTCCCTTTTCATGATCCTGAAGGAAGGGACCTTACTTCCGAGAATGACCAAAGTGCTACTATTAGGGGATCCAGTCTTCTGATAAGGACTCATCCACTTCCAGTCTCTCCTTCCTAACAGGAGCAAGCCAGCTTTAATCAGCCTCAGCCCTGCTTTTAGCCAGCAAGGGGTCTCTTGGCAAATTTCTTAATGCTCCTTCCTTACCAGGATTGTTTTAAGTATGAAACAGGAAGATACATCTGTCAAGATCTTATATATGTAAACTATGACCATTTTTCAAGCAGCCATTCATTTAATAAACTTTACCCAAAAATGTAGCCCAGTAAAGCCTTAAAGGTAAAAACAATAGTATACAGTTTCAGCCTGCAAGGAGCTTTTGCCCTAAGAAGAAAGACAAGTGAGAAGAAACAGTGACAGGACAGTGGGTGGTGGTCCAGCTCTGAAACCTTAACAAGTGTTTTCCCCAGGTACCCACTTATGCTTCTTGCTGTCTTAAAATCCCTTTCTCCCTCAGTAACTGGAAAGTTGTTGCCTCTGTCCCTCAGGGAAGGAACAATGCTGAAGGCCTGGACAAAAAGGTTCTGAGTGTCTTGTCAAAAGCCTTTCCTTAAAAAGATTTGAGTTTTAGAAATTACAAGATGAGACAGAGTAATGCTTCCCCTGCCTCACCCGAGACTAGAAAAAAGATTTTAGGGGCAACCTGAGAGTAATGGGAGGGAACCATGAGACCCAAGAGAAGGGGTCCCAACTACAGCAACTGTGAAGCAAAGAGCCACACAGAACTGGTATTCAAAAATCTACCTGCCTTCCATTCCAGCCAGCACACTCCACCATCAGAACCAGGGATTCCTAGGAACTTGATTAGCATCTTCAGCCTGTTTCCACAGCTGTTCCCATAGATCAGTGCAACACATTTACTGGTACTGAGGAGCTATGCTGCCTGGCCTTCTTGGCATCTGACCTCCTCAGAGTAAAGTATGCTTTACTCTGGTAAGTGGCAGAAGTAGTGCCTGTGTGTGTCTGTAGGATCTCAGCCAATCACATTCTAATAAATTCTGCATAAACAATCTTTTAATGGTCCAAGTTCCTGAGTAGGGAAGGGGTATATCCAAATCCTCACAGGCTTGTGCTTGGGTAATTTCAAGCAGATTCAGCCCAAGTTTGCTTCATTATTGGTACAATATAAGCTTGAGCAGAAACAGCAGCAGGGAGCAGCAAGAGGACAGAGGAAGTGAATCATTCTTCCAGGGCTTCCTGGGCAGGACTGAGTGGGCGGCAGAGGATCAGGCAGGCTTCAGAGAATAGATGACATTTGCCCTGGGTGTGGGTGTAGAACCTCTGAAAATGAGACATGATCACCTGCACAACCTGTTCATTCCAGAAAGAAGAGATCGTGTCCTGGGACAGAGCATCTGGAGAGAGTGTCACTAGGAACCTGAAGCTGCTGGAGACCCAGCAGTCATAGCTCTTCTTTAGACAGTGTTGCCTGGTTCTTTTCAGAACACAGATATGACCTAATGTACATACCCTCCTCCACCAAGAGAGATGGATAATCCCTGGGCAAGAGGCTGGGGGAGGGAGAGACTGCACAACTGTAGACAAGCCACAGCTTCTCTGAGTCCTCAATATATGTCAGGCACTTTGCTCAGCATTTATATACATTAGCCCATTTCATCCATGGTGTAGTATTTTAGCCCCCAACTTACAGATAAGAAGACAGAGGCTCATATTCCTACAGTTAGTTAAATGGCAGAAACAAGATGTGAACCCATATTTATGTGCTACCTTGATTTCCAACTTGAATGGCTTAGAACTTAGTTGGGCATTTAAAGAATACATGCTTGACAAGGTAAATAGTAATAGGAAAGTGCCAACTTGTCTGAGCAAGGCACCTTTCACTGTTCCCTGACAAGTACCCGCATTTGTATCTATTGACAAGTCTTAGCGATCTCCCTCCAACTTTGTCCCATGAATTTTTACTTGTCCAAATTTTTATCCTATTATCTAACCCAGGATGTCACTGGCAAATGTGAATTCTTAGTCTCAACTAAGCTGGTTCTTGAACCTGAGGACAACCATCACTGTTGCCTTAGGGTCTTCTAAAAGGGAAGGTTCTCACAGCAGCTTCCAAGATGACACCAATTATTGGCTGAGGGTTCTTTCTCAATTTGTGCAGAAATCACTGATTGGCAAGTGGTAGCTCTTTTAGTGTTAATAGCCCTGAACCTCGAATGCCTGCAGCAATCATCTCTTTTAGTGTTGGTGGCCCTGCTTGCCACTTGGAGCCCACAGCTAATAGGTCTCAGGAACTCTTCTGGTCACTGCCAATGGCAGATGCTGGCTCTTCTTCATTCTCTGTTGTTTACCACCTTCAGTGTTACCAGCCCTGGCTGCTGGTGGCTTGTCATACCAGCAGCCTTTAGTGCTACCAGCTTTTGGTACCAGCCTTTGGTGTTACCAGTTCTTGATGTACCAGCTCAGCATGCTCTACTCCAAATAGACATCATGTGTAGACAGGCATAAGTTATCTGGAAGAGGCTTGATTAGTATTCACTCTGTAGCACGAGGGGGAACAGTGTATGGGCTGAACAGCTAAGGGTCTAGGAAAGTTCTTGTGAAGGAAGAAAGGTGGGCACATGCACACGGAGCGTCAGATTGTTTGGTCATGGGAAGGGGGGGCTTCAGGGTGGAGTCATCTGGGATAGAACTATGATTGAAGCCTGCTATGCGTAAACCTCCTAGAGTAGCCATGGGTGTCTGATGCAGCTGGACTGGCCACAGCATGTTTGAGGCAGTCACAAAAGAAAAATTAATACGTCGTGGGGAACATGAGGTCCTCTTTCCTATCTCCACCATCAAAGCCACTAGACCAAGCACTAAAATTGACATCTAAATTCACCGAGTGGGTGAAGCTCAGCTAGGGGTGGGTGTTGTAGATCCAGGCTTGTCTGCCCCCGCTGCCAGTCAATATGAAGGGGCAGGGGCCTATAGACAAAAAGAAAAAAATGGAGGCCTCATGAGGTCTTCTAGTAATCCTGCAGGGCAGCATTAAAAACAAACGTTACTAGAGAAATTCCCCTGGGAAATGGGTCAAGGAGGGGAGTAGAGAGAGAAACCCAGATAAAGAAAGGCACCAAATGGCCTTGGGGCTTGCACCAAGAAACCAGAAAAAGATCTGACAGGCAGGACACAGAGAGAAAGCCAAGTACACAAACAATAAGCTGCCCCCACCTCCAATAAAATGTAGGGAAAATGGGGGGGGCTGGCTAACTTTAAAAGCAGTTTGTACTCAGACCTATACACTAACATATACATATATACACGAGTAATCACTCTAAAGCCACTATATTATTCACTCTAGGATCATCATAGAGTACAATAAATATCCACACACCCCTTACTAGCTCCAAGCTAACCATGAATAAGGCAACCCCCTTGCCAACTAGTTGTCCACATTAAAGATAAGACCTTAAAAGGTAGGTCAAGGACAACTAAACAACAAAAAGAAGCTGCACATACACCACCGGAAGAAATGCCTGTAGGCAGAGGTGCCCAGAAGCCAATCCAGCTATGGCAAGTTCTGAGGGGGTGGGTCACTTACACCCCCAGAAAGCAACTGGGAACAAAAGTCTTGCAGGCCTTCCATCTTTCTGGAGCCCCTCTACCCTGATTCTTATCAGAGTAGCTATCTATCTTCTCCTTTCCTGTCCCTTCCTTTTCCTCTTTACAAACAGAGTGTCTCCCTTTCGTTAAACTTTGTCCTCTAATTTTTTATTCGGGCTGACTTTATAATGCCAGTGGGCTGCTTGGACAGCAGAACAGCTGCACTCCTTCCCCAGAGATGTTCCCCAGAGAACATCTTTGGTTCCCTGAGCAGAAGCCAGACCTGAGAAATGGGGGAACAAAACACACTTGACCTGTCTAGAGCACCACTTAAACAAAGAATCGAAAATCCTGGGTCTGGTAACAACAGACAACCCACAGCAGTGTTTAGTTTGGCTGATCAATGATTTTAAAAACACAAACTGACTTTGAATGCCTTTAGGCAGGGAATGAGTGGACTTCATCCTACTCGTAATCTCCTCCATTTAGTCTTTTATTTGTTCCCTGTCTGGCCCTGGATAGCATTTGAGTTTTAATCTAGATTCCATTCTAGAAAAACCTTGCTTTAGCACCTGAAATCACTTAAGGAACCATCCCTGAGCCTGATTTCCAGTTCATTATTGATCCCTTAACATATGTACAGAGGCCGAAAAGTCAATGACTTGGAGCCCAAGTATTTGCCTAATATATCAGGTATCTAAAATATGCAAACATTTCTTCCATCACGGAGAGTAATACATGTAGGTAAGGAAGGACCTTGTTTCATGAATAAGGCTAATATGCCTCTGCAAGCCCATTAAAAAGGACTAAACTTTGGTTGGGTCCTTTCTGGAGTTTATTATGATTGGGAAGCTGCCATTGCATCTTGCAGAGCTGGAACACTGTAGAAAGGCAACTGGGGCACCCTGAAGGGTCAGGACAGCATGATAATTCCCCTCTGTGCCTCCTTTCTGCACTGTATCAGGCCTCTCCCTCTCTCTCTCTCTCCCTCTCTCTCTCTCTCTCTCTCTCTCTC